AGTGTTGACTTCCAACCCATCAATAATGCACTAAGGCTTGGGTTTCTTCCTAGTGAGCATGTGGCTACTGCTGCCTCTCAGGATCCCAGGCTCTATCCTGAGAATGAGGGGAGGATCAGAGTTGGGCTAATGCAGTATGAGTAACCGTTTGTAAGAACTCTAGCCTAGGGGTTCCCTTTTCCTTTGCCAGCTCAACCTCCTTCCCTCTCAATCCCTTCCCCACCAACCACACACCTTTCTTTCTTTTTCATTCCTCCTGGACTCCAACAGACTCAACCTGTCTGATGTCCACTATGTTCTGCTACCTACAAACATTCCCAAATCTCTCTTACCCTAAAACAGCCCCTCATTTAAAACTGTCTACTCTCCTTGTCTCTACTCACCTTCAACCTGGAACAACCTCCCTATTTCTGCCCCATTCAACCAAGCACATACTAAGACACTCTACTACCATGACAACCTCCCCACCCACCCCACTATAACCAGAGGTGGGGAGAGCCTGAAGGCTTCTTTCTCTCCAATCTCTACAGTTTCCCTTATTTTAATCCACTTCAACTATCCACATCTGTTTGGGTAATGTCTAGGTTTACATCTCTAGCTGTCTCTTACTTTCTATGCCTTATGTATATCTTATCTCTTATACCTTTACCCAGGCACAGGCTGGCCCCTCTACCCAGAATGCTCTTCTCCTTCACCTCAGTCTCTTGATACCCCCAAGCTCTCTTCAAGGCTCAGCTCAAGTGACACCTCCTCCAAAAGGCCTCACCTAATTCCCTAGTTCTTAGATCCCACCCCTAAATTACCACATATTTGTTTTGTCTAAGTTGCAGCTTGGTATAGGGAACTCCTGGTTGAAAAAACTACTATTAACTGTGCTGGTTGGTACCTTCTCTGTAACTTACCGGTCTTGTTGCAAGTCAAATGACTTGTTCAGATTCGTACAGCTAATATGTGTCAGAGACAGGATTCGAATCCAGTTCTACCTGGCTTCAAGACCAGCTGTTTTTTTCAATCAGGAGTTCCCTATACCAATAAAATTACAGGTGCAGACCTCATCCTTCCCCTATTGGAATGTCAGCTCCTACAAGGAAGGGGGGACTAGTTCACTTATGTACTTGCCTCCTTAGTACCTAGCAGGGGCTTAATAAATGCTTATGGATTTGCTGATCTCCAACCAGGCTGATTTGTCTCCTAAGGCAAGGCTATAGTAGAAAATACACTGAATTCGTTTCAGACTTAGATTGTATCCTAGCTCTGTCAGTTACTATCAGTGTGATCTTGGCAAATTCCCCCTCTTAGGGCCTCAGTTTTTACAATCTGGAAAACGAGGAGACTGGTCTGGATGAGTTAAAGGGCCTTTCTAACTCCATATCCTATGATCCTATGAGCTGCAGCCTAGCATTTCCAGCTGCTTTTTGGACAAGTCCATGCTGCCTTATCAAGCTTGAATGTCCAAAACCCAACTCACATTTGGGCTTGCTATATTTCCCACTTCCCTAGTAATTTTTAAAGTTGCCGTCACTATGGTAACTAGATCCAGAGACAATCAGAGAAGCTGAAACATAGTTTGCTAGCCCTGTAGATCTCTTGTTCCTGACTTTCACCAAGGAAGTGAAATCCTATGCTATCAGACAGGGAAGCTCCCAGGTACCCCACGGTCCTTAGGTCCATCCTAAGATCATGGTCCAGGGTGTGGCTGCTTTTCTTACCCCTACGTCCTGCCTGCCATTTGGGGAAACCAGAATGAACCCCCAGGGCTGTAGAAAAAGAAGACTTTCCCTGCTACCTTTGGACACAAGACAGATGACCCTGACTGCCATCCTCATATCTTAGATTCCATTCCTCCCCTAAAATACTTTGGGATCTTTCAGGAGCCTCAAATGTTTGGTGTGGACTTATCCCTGCCCTATCTGTTCTGCAGTGATAAGATTAATGGTTGCAGAGCCTCTGGTCCTTTCGCTAGAAAAGACTATGGTCTAAGGATCTGGGATTGGGGGGAAGGAGGAAGGAAGAAGGTTATGATGCTTTCCTTCAGGGAGCTCACCACCTTTCTGCTCTTAGCTCAGTCTGCAGAAACCAAGGATAGTATGACTTGGATCCTAGGATTTATAGTTAGAAAGGACCTTGCAGAGCTCCTCATTCCATAGACAAGAAAATAGAGGCCTCTACTTTCAAAGAAGAGTGATTTGTGCTGAGGCCTAAGGCTACACAGATAGAGATTTAAAACCATGTTTTCAGACCCTAAATCCAGTGCTCTTTACATAGTACAACTTGTAGGTTTGAGGTCTGGAAATCTCCCTGCTTCTAGCTCTTCAGTCCTGCTCTCTCCTTTCTATCCCTCACATTTCTCTTCAGGTTTGGTCCTCTGGCCCTCATTTATTTTAAAAGGAGCCTGGTCCTAGGATACTGGGTGCTGGGGGTTGCTCTGGAGCCAGAAAGCAGCAGGGCTTGCTATGGAAAAAAAAAAAGTGCCACTATTTATAAATCTCTCCTCTAGATCCCTGATGCGTGGGACAGTGTCCCTCCTACTCCCCAGAGATTTCATTTGCCAGTAGCTGCCGCCTAGGCTCCACATGTGGGGGCCTTCCCTTCACACACAGAGAGATATGAACATACATTCCAGGTAACCCCCAGCTCCTGCAGAAGGGTAAATTTGGAGTGGGGAGGGGGTGGGGCCAGTTTTCTCCCTAGCATTCAGCCAGAGGTAGGTGGGGATGAGGTATGGGGGAGGGTTGGGTGGGAGTGGAAGGGGTGAGAAGGAACCTGCCAATCCAGTCTAGGCTAGATATAAAGGCTGACAGTATGGTTGCCCTGACAACCCAACCATTCCCTACCAGGGGGACGGCCCTCAACTCCCCATCCCAAAGCCATGAACATAAGGGGGGGGGAGGGGAAGGCAGTTTGAAAGTCCAGAGAAAAACCAGCTTCCTGCGTCCCTCTGCCCTTCAGAGTGGGAGAAAACATCTCCTGGAACTCATAGAAAACATGGACAAGGGACATTCAAGGACACAGATAACTGGGACCTTGGGCTGGGAGCTAGGTCACCTCTGTTCTTCCCAGGACTCTATCACTGACTACAAGTAGGTCCAAGAACCTTCTTCAATCCTCCACCTCACATAGTCCCTTCCTATTTTCCTGGGGGGAAGTGTGACATTTGTAACTCAATTGATCTTGTACATTATCTCATTTGAAGCTCACAACAATCCTTTGAGAGGCTAAGTGCTATTATTTTCTCTCTCTCTCTCTCTCTCTCTCTCTCTCTCTCTCACATACACACACACACACACATTTTACATTTGAGGAAACTGACACTAAAAGAAGTTAAATGTCCAGCCCAGAGTCAAACAACAAATAAGTGAATGAGGCAGGATTTGAACCCAGATCTACTTGACTCCAAGTCTAGCATTCTACCCACTATGCCATGCTGCTTCTCCCTAAGGGAATTCTATCTTCACTGGATAATGCACATAGTTGTCTCCTGCTGAGATCACTCTAAGTTATGAAGGAGTCTTGGAGCTAGATGGTACCAGTTCAGCACTCTATTTTACAAATGAGGAAATTGAGGTTCAGAGAAAGTCCAAGTGCCAAATGAGTGGCAAAGCTAGGACTAGATCCCAGATCTCCTAACTCTAAGTTCAGTGCTCTTTTTACTATACCAGGCTGAGACAGAAAGAACCAACTTCCACTCCCCAAAATTTACCTAGGGATGGAATTTCCAGACTGACCAAACAAAAGGGAATAGAACAGACTAAGTACTCAAGAACTCTTCTGCTTTGACCCCTCACCTCCTCAGCTGTAATCCATATTTGGGAGAAAAGGGAAGCCAGCAACCTACAATGTTTGTTTACTCTGGGTCTGCCCAACCAGCCTCAAATAGGGGGTGTGACCCATGGGCCACGTGTCCTGGTCAGGATGTGGTCATTATCCCTTCTCTTGCCTTCCCTCACCCTTCCCACAAAAGCCAGGCAGAAAAAGCTGCCAGATGCAAACTATTAAGCTCTGTTGTGGTCTGGACACTACATGCTTAGACTTTGCTGCCATACATTATGAGAGCACAGTTCAGCACATGTGGAGGCCACCCTTTGCTTTGAACTACTACAAGGATACACAGGGCCATACTAAGGGTATTGCTCAGGCAGCCTCTCTCCTAGGCTGGGTGGTTAAGAGGAATCTGGGGCTGAGTGGAACATAGGGAGGAAATCGGAATGTGTGGGGGGGGTCCATCCCTAGCTCCCTCCTCCCCCACCAAGCCAGCTAGTCACTAGTTGGTTAGTGCCAGGGGAGTGGGGGAAAAGGGAAAAGGGGAATAGCTAGAATGATAGATAAAATAGATATGTGAGTTCAAGTTTATCTTCCATCCCCATCCCCTCCCCAAGCTGCTTCTCAGGGCCTGTAGCAAAAGCGGAGGCTCGGCAAACTAAAACCAGGATAGTTAATCTCCCTAAAGCTAGATAGAGAAAAGATGTGCTCCATAAAGGAGGTTTCCCTAGAAGGATTGAAAGCTTCCTAGACACTGTCTCTGTCACAGACCCTAGCATTGTAGATCCCGAGTACTGAGCCAGTAAGCTCTGGTGCCTGGCTCAGGGTCTCTCCTCCTCTGTGCCTTCTTAGCAGCTGCCTTAGGATGCTCTCAGTCAGACCCCACAGCATCCCAGACATCCGGGTCTCCCAGGGAGAGCCCTGGAAGATGCAGGGGCCGAGTCACAGAGCTCACCAGCTGGGAAGCAGGGCGGGCGCCGGAGTGACTGCTTTGCAGTCCCGGGAGCTCTCCAGCCCCTCCTGGACTCGCTCCCCTCCACCCCCTTCTTGGCCGCAGCCCAGACTCCCGATGTCGATTTCGCAGAGGAGGCAAGGTCCCCGACGCTCGGGGGACACAGCAGAGGTGGGGAGCGAGGGACCAGGGAGCAAGCTGGCTGCAGCAGGAGGGAAGCCAGGCCTTCCAGCCGCCCCACCCGTCCAGCCCACCCAAGCAGAGCCCAGCCCAGCTCAGCTCAGCTTACCTGAACGGCCCGGGTGAAGAAGATGCCCGCGTCCGACGCCAGCTTCTTCATGTTGAAGTCCATGGCGTAGACTCCTTGAGCTGGCGGAGCTTTCTTCTCTTCCCTCTACCCCTCCTCCTCTTGCGAGCACCGACTCGGACCAGCAGCCTCGCAGCATCGGAGCCGGCGGCGTCCGCCCCGCCACCGCCCCGGCCTCCACTCCGCCCACCTGCTGCCTGTCAGCTCCGGGGAGAGGAGGTGCCGCCGCGGCGCGCAGAACCCTCTGCACCCAGCGTCTCGAGTCCGGCGCTGGTGCTCGCTGCTGCCCTCTGGCCTCCAACTGAGCTGCTTCTTAAAGTGGAAAATACCTGCAGCCCTAGACAAAGCGAGGGTACAGGTTGCCGCCTCTCCCCTCCACCCCTCTTCTTTCTCGTCCTCTTCCCTGCTAAGATCCTAGCATCTTTTTTCTCCCATAATCTTCTCCCCCTCCTGCGTTTCTGTCTCTATCGCCAGATGGCTCAGGTTAGTAGAATGGGGACTGCGGAGCTCTCTCCACTCGCAGTGTTTCCTCTGTGCCAGCTGTTTTTCCTGGATTGGAACCATCCCCCGGTGGAAAGGGAGAGGGATATGGAACTACCCCCACCCCCTCGGCTTATCTCGGGGCCCAAGCCGAAGGAGAAGGGGCTTGGTAGCGGGGGAGGGAGAGTGATAAAGACGAGTGATAAGGCCGGGCAAAGCGGCATCTTGTGGCAGAGATCCCCAGATTCGGAAGAGAAGTACGGGGTCCTGTTCTTTACCCCATTACCTTATAGAAGTAGGGACTGTTTGGCTAATTGGAGTAATTATGGATTAGATTATCCAGAAAAGGACGCCATCTCAGTGCAGATCATCTGATCCTTTAACAAAGCTCAAGGAAGGAAAGAAAGGTGGAGTGATTGACAGAGAAATGTCCATTATAACTATAATATCTACATCTAACTTTTGATTGTAATTATATTTTGATGCTTCCATAAATCCATGATCTCTTTGGTGTGGCCCTCTTTCTCTGGTGCAGTTAACTAATAATAAACAATGACATTTATATAGTATTTTACCACTTACAAAGAACTTCATAAACATTTTTTATCCAACCAGAGAGAAATGCATCCATATGTCTTTATTTTAAAAAAATTTTTTTATTTCTCTTTGGTTTTTACATCACCTGAGCTGTAGGAAAGAATAAAAAAGAAAAATCAGTTTCACAAAACTAAGTAACAAATCAGCTGAACCAGATAGCTTAACCAATGTTCCTCACAGTATGATTTGTAAATATAATAACCTCTGCAAAGAACAGAAAGAGGTGTATTTTTTTCTACTTCAGGACCACATTTACTTGGAAATTGTACTTATAAGATGTTCAGTTTAAGTTTTTTTTTGTTCTTTCCATATATGCTGTTGTTGCAGCCATCTTATAGGCTGTTTATAGGTTCTTCTTACTTCATTCAAATCAGTTCATTTGTCTTCCCATGCTTCTCTGTATTTACCATAGTTGTTTGTTACAGCTCAGTAATATTCTATTACATTCATGCACCACAGTTTGGCCCCAGTTGATGGGCAATTTGTTTCCAGTTCTTTGCCACTACAAAAAAAAGCATTGCTACAAGTACTTGCTGTATTTTGGACCTTTCTGTCTTTGATCTCCTGGAGGGCATATGATTAGCAATTTGACCTCTGGGTCAAAGGGTATTGACATCTTGGCAACTTTTTTTTAAAAATCACAATTCTAAATTTTTTTTTTTCAGAATGTTTGAACCAACTCACAACGACGCTAACAGTGTATGTCTATTATCTTTCCACAAACCCTCTAACATTGATTATCGTCCCTTTGCTGCAGAGGCCCAGAGGTGAAAAACTCAGATTTGTTTAGTTTTGCATTTTATTTTATGATTAGTGATTTGAAGCAATCTTTCATATAGTTTTTAAATAGTTTTCACTTTTTTTTTGAGAACTGCTTGCCATCCTTGCATTTTCATCTTATTCTTTTCTCTCTGTGAATCCCCCAGAGGAACTTTGCAAAGTCCCCAAAACTTCAGGTTCTTTTCAAATTCTGTGGATGCCAGTACAGCTGTTAGGATTCTCTTACCCTCAGCCCATGAATAGCCCACCTTCTTTTCAGTCACATAGGTCCTTGATCACGTCTTTTATACCACTTCCCAAGGGCAAGTCATTGTTGGTAATATGTTATAACCTAGTTACACCTGCCATTCATCTTCACATTGTCATTGATTCTGAAGTTTTGATTCTTTTGAAATTATAGTGTTCTGTAATTCACAACTGAATATAAGCCATATCCGTAAAATGATTATCTCTTCAAAAGGGCAAAAAAATTATATAAACACACACGTAAAAATAACACTAAGTATAGGCTACACTCTGATTTCATACAAACCATATTTGGGAAAAAGGCAGCTAGTTGGCACAGTAGATAGAGTACTGGGCTTAGAATCAGGAAGACTTGTCTTCCTGGGTTCAGATCTGGCCTCAGATACTTACTAGCTGTATGACCTTGGGCAAGTCACTTTACTCTGCCTCAGTTCTTCATCTGAAAAATGAGTTGGAGAGGACATGGCAAACCACTCTAGTATCTGTGCCAAGAAAACTCCAAATGGGGTCACAAAGAGTCAGACATGACTGAAAAATAACTGACCAATAACAAAAAAAAGGCCTATGTGTAATCATGGTTGTGAGTTAAGACCAATACAGGTATTTATCCATAGTATTAATCAGTGAATGAACATTTATTAAATGCCAACTACATTCTAAGCTACGTGATAGGTGCTTGGAAAATAAACTCAAAAATTGAGTAGTCCCTGACCTTGGGAAACTTACATTCTGAGGCCATTGGTGATGTAGTCAATAGAGCTCTGGGCCTAGAGTCATAAAGGCCTAAGTTCAAATCTGGCCTCAGATACTTACTAGCTGTGTGACCCTGGGTAAGTCACTTAACCTCTGTTCCCTTCCGTTTCCTTACCTGTAAAATGGGGATAATAATTGCATCTACCTTGCAGAGTTGTTGTGAGCATCAAATGAAATAATATTTCTAAAAGCCCAAGACAGGGCACATAGTAGATGCTACATAAATAAACAAATAAATGTGTAGATATATAGATATAGATGTATATGTATATATGGTGATTATACATACATGGTGATTTCCAGGGTGGGATGAAGGAGGTAGCAACCAGAAGAATCCAGAAAAGGCCTAATGTAGAAGGAAACATTTGAGCCAAGCTCTGAAAGTCAAGATTCTAAGAGGTGGCACTGAGGAGCAGAGCGCATTCTAAGCATATGAGGAAAGCCGTGCATAGGGACCAAACCAGGAGATGGAATGTCACGTGTGAAAAACAGCAAGAAGGCTGATCTTCAGTTTGGCTGGGCTATAGCGTTTGCAAAGGGGAGGGATAAATAATAAGCCCAGAAATGCAGGTTATGAAGGGCAGTTGATTCTAGAAAGATTTGTTCTTGATCTTACAGTTAATAGGGAGCCACTAGAGTTTATTGGGCATCAATAGTATTCTCTCCCAGACTAGTGATGAGGAAAGTGCTTCCTAAAATTCAGAGTGATATATGAATGCAATTTATTATCATATGTGCATTACTGCTCTCTCTCTGTATAATCCATCCATGGTAATTATATACACTTTGCACATAATAAGTGCTTAGTAAAGGTTTTTTCATTCTTTTCTTTTTCCCCTCCAAGGATTGTTAGGTTGGTTGCTACCAGGGAGCTCTGTAATGTGCTGGAGCTTGAAACAATCATTTTAATGTCATCCGAAAGACCTCCCCATCTACAGATGGAGGATTCTGTCCTTCATTTGGACTCTATACAGGGTCTTCTTGATGATAGTGGAGAATATCTTTGGTGAGTATATATGCATCAAATATTTTGGCCTTACTCTTCCAGGGTAAGGCTGATAACATCTCCTCAAGGAAAACCCTTGAGAGGTTGAAATGTCTTTTATGCTGCCAGATTGGGTTCCCATTCCAGTGTGTTCCTCCTTCAGTTAGCCACCAGTGACTAGCTGCCCTGATCCATTCAACCAGTTAATATTATTTGTTACAAAGGAACTTTTGCTTCAATGATATAAGAAGCACAGAAATACAAACATTCCTCCCAATACTTTGGGGGCATACTCTTCTCTGTTCTACCTCAGGCCCTAGGAAGTATGGGCTCAGACTTTATACAAGTTCACCAGGGTATTGGTCTCACCAAGTATAAATCCAAGGGCAGCATCACTGTTAAGATGAATAATCCTCTCAGTTACTACTGGGTCCTGAAAGTATTTCCCCACTGCTTAGGGCCTCAAAGCTTAACTGGCTGGCTATAAACCCAAACATAAACTCTACTCCTAGACCTCCTGGTGACTCACTCTCCCGACTTTTCTCCTTTTCTTTCTTCTTCCTTCTTTTTAAAACTGGGCATAGGAAAACCCTCATTTCCTTCACCACTGAAATGTCACAAGATGCAAAGGACTCAAAGGTGTGTGTGTGAAAAAACAGAAAACATACAATATTCAATAGCCTTTCTCATTTATATACTTTCCCTGGAAATTAAAGACCCTTTTAGAGACTCCTGAACATTCCACATTCACCTCTGACCTGCACTATCTGGGCAACTCACAGAAATTCTGTGTTGGCAAAGTCTGTTCCACCTGCCCACCCAAGACTCTTTAGTCCTTGAGGTACATGTTGATATCAACAATGGTACTTTTTACCTCAAAAGAAAATATATATATATATATATATATATATATATATATATATATAGCTCCATTACACACACACACACACACACACACACACCCATGAGGAAAATCTTGTTGCACAGCTGCTGCCCCTCGAACTCTTGAACTGATGATGTAACCCCCCAGTTTGCACAAGTCCATTTCTCCAGATCTTGAACCTGTGCTGAGAAAAGGAAAAAGAAAGGAAGAAAAAAGCCTAGAATATTCCCCTTAGCCAGTGATTCAAGTTTGACTAGGCAAGCACGTGTCCAGTTGGTATATGCTTCTGCTACAAGACATCATTGCCACTGGAGATGGGGAGAAGAGAGAAAATCATCTCTTCTCTTGTTAAAATTCCAAGGGAGAAAAAGCACTATTTTTAAGAGTCCCAAAAGAGGTGGGAGTTTTACTATTATTAGCTGCCTCTGCTGACCTTCCAAAACACACAGAGCCACAGAGTCCAAGCTTTCTTAGAATGAATGAACAAATGAAGAAACAAAAAACCAAGGCCCATATTCAGATTTTGTGTGGGCCAGCCTCAGAAGG